TACAAAGCGGCCGCTTCGGGGCTGAAACAACTAGGCCATCCTCTCAACGTCAGCCTCGCCGTAGCCAGCCGTAGCTTTGCTCGTCCCGAGACGAACTACGTCACGATTGCGTTGAATGTCACATGGTCTCCGCTGGGCCTTCTCCGAGCGCTTGCCAGAGTGGGCCGCTTATAACGAAAAATACAGCTACCAGGCTGAACACACAAACGTGCGATTGTCATTTGCGGATATTGTGGATCGTATTCAACCTGTTTTTGAACACGACGGGAATATTTCAAATTTCGTTGATGTATCCCTTTAAGTTGATCGCAGGTGTGTGGCAGCTTCGCGACAAAGTTGGGGAACCTCGGGTCGGTCACTAATGGGCACGTTAGTTATTCTTCTTTGCCAACGTTCAAAAAGTGACAACCAACGGAGCCATCAATTGTAATTTTGTTGTGGTTATGTTTAGACAGCGGGAAGTTAGTCAGCCCCGAGGGCGTCTGGTGTCTTCGTTGGAGATGAAAGCCAGTACAGTATACCGCTGCTTGTCTGACGTCTTTAACGTTCATCACGCAATAGGGATACACGACAGCACGCCGGTAAGATGTTCATCCAGATTGAAATGGAGAGAGACGGGAGATTGAATGTACGACCAGTGAGCTTTACAGCGCGAGCTTTCGCTACTCTTGCTACCGATCCCCGAGCAACCGGACATCGCGGTCGAATTTCAGCTCGAGAGAAAAGCAGCAACAATAAGAAAATCTCCTGTTTGAGCCATTTAGTACTTGTTTCGCCATCTTGTTTAACACGTTGGAAATAAAATTAACGGGGTGTTTTTATTTGCACAAATACGCAAATACAACATTATTTCGTTTTCTCGTCTTGGCCTTAAAATTAAGATTAGAGGCACCCCTAGTGCGTACGGCCAAGTGTTTTGTCCCGTTTGTCTTCTAAATAATTGTATTTTCAAAAATGCCTCAAAACGTGCTCAAAACAGTCAAAACGGTAATATTTCTCGATTTTATTAAAAATCTCCAGGCGCACTAAAGGAAAAATCTAAGGGCCGTACAACCTTCATTACGTCTTCATAATTAACCTCCAAAAGAATGAATACTCTTGTGCATTCCTGAAACTCAGGTTTGTGTAGCGAAATTCGCCCATTGAGTGACGAGCGGTTGAATCCCCCTTAATAACAGAATAAACTCGCCTTAGTTTTTTTCCTTTCTAAATAATGGCAGTAGCCAAAAAAAAAAAAAAAAAAAAAAATCGGGAATTATAAGTTTTGCTCATCCGCTCAAGTCAGAGCCAGGACAAGCGGCCACGTGGTTTGGTGCCTATCCTATGCCGCCAAGTGCGCAAAGTTCGAAGTCCGGTTTTCATGTTCCGCCACCAGCTTCAGTTTCAAATAACGTTTTCACGCCTCACTGGTATTCACGAAATCAGGTTTAGAAAAGTTCGGGTGTGATATTTAGACTGCGCGAAGTTGGTCAGGCAATTAAATGAGACGACGAGTGCCCCGGATGTGCTGGAATATTTGCCAGCGCAGTGACGTGTAACAATAGATCAGTAATTGTGATTGCCAGCCCGGGGTGGTCATTAACGTGCATTACGAAGTAGTGATCCTACGAACGCACTTAACGATACTCATCCAGTTCGAAACGGCCAGGGGCAGGCAGGTGGTTGAGGTTCAGAAAAACCTTGAAGTGAGCTGGCAAACTGTCCCCCTACCCCCTTGCCAGGGATGGGCAAAGTACATGCAAATATGTATCGAAATACAAATACAAAATACTTCGTCAAAAATGTATTTAATTACAAATCTAATTACATTTCCTAAAAAGTATTTAAGTACAGGACACAAATACAACCAAATGTATTTGGTCTACTCCAAATACTTTTCCAAATACATTCTTCAAAATTTGCGTCAGCGACTTCAGGCCACCTGCAACGGGTTTCCGCGGGTACCTCATTTTAATTTTGCATCGCACACTCGGGAGTTAGTGTGCGAGGCTCTAGTAACGTAATAGAAATATAATCACAAAAACAAATTTTAATCAGCTTGGACATAATAGGTGAAAGGAATACAGAGCTTTCAGTAGTTTTTTTGTCGATGACATCTTGGTATAGACCAACGAAGAACCGAGACGACCAAGACGCGCAGCACTAGCTAGAGAATTTTGTATTGTTGCAACTAGCACCAGTTACGAAAATCTGGACGACCCGCGCATTTAGAATGTTCCAGGCAAAAATATGGATGGAAATCAGGCCGGAAAGCATCACAAGCTGTCACAGGCACTTATTTAGCCAGTTTGCCTGTGAACGTCGATTTCGTCACTATTCTTGTCCTGGACTAGCACCGTAATCACAAAGTCACTAAACGCTTGTGCTTGATTGAGAGACACTGCTTTCGGTGCAGAAAGTTGTTTTCTTCCTGCTCTGGACAGTGACAATAAATTTGAGGGATGTATTCGCGCCCACAAAATTGTATTTAATTACAATTGTATTTGAAATACCCACGTTTTAGTATTTAAATACACACGTCAAATACATTACCCAATTTGTAATTAAATACAAATGCAAAATACATAAAGTATTTTAAATACGTATTTCAAATACTTGTATTTGAAATACTGCCCATCCCTGCCCCTTGCACGCTGGTAGTAATCCGATCGAACGCCGCCCGAGTGACGCTGGCATATAGTAAGTTTAGTTTGTAAATGATGCAAAATCCTGAAACTGGGAATGAAATTGGAAAGAAAAAGTGTAAGAAGACAGAAAAAAGGGGACAGGACAACGTTTCAAATTCAACTCAGCTGAGTTTGACTGTTTGAGACGTTCTCCTGTCCCCTTTTTTCTTTCTTCTTGCACTATTTCTTGCGAATTTCATTCCCAGTCTCGGGATTTTGCATCATGATCAACATACACCAGCTCGCCTGCACCTTGACCATTTTTTTGTTTGTAATTGCTTTGGAGGTTTATTTTCTGGGGCGGAAGAAACGCCGAGCAAAAAGCACAGAAGCTGACGCAACTTGAGGTCGAGGAGCGTTCTACCATACCAGTGGCGTCGGAAGAGGAAAAACGGGGGGGGGGGGGGGGGGGGGAGCTTCAGTTTCTCCCCCCCCCCCCCACCCTCCCACATATTTCGAACTGTTAAAGAAAACAATACGGGGAAAGAGGGCATGGTCCAGCTTATTTTAATCTGAAATTATTTATGCATATGTATAGCTACTGTCGCTCTTAACTGCATAAAAGATCGCGTAGATGGTCATTGTTAAGGCCGGTTCTCACATGCAGCGAAGCGCTGATGTAACGCTGCTCAAGTGCCGTCAGGTACTTTCGTATGCCATGAGTAACAGTTTCGACGGTGCGATACAAAGCTGGTGAACGCTCCCGTCTGCACGTGCTTAGCACGAGGTCAGCGCTATGCTTGTTGCGCTCCGCTGCATGTGTGAACAGGCCTTTAGAAACTCGTTGTCAGGAGGCACTACTCGTCACATGCTTGGTGGCTCGAAAGTTCAAAGCTATGTCTTTTCGACCTAAATAACTGCGCCATTGGTAAAAAATAATCAATAAATAAACATAACAATAAATGCAAAAATAAGAAGAGAAAAAAAAAAAAAAACTATCAAGAACCCGCCGGAAGTGTTGTATTCTTGCATATTCAGAAGCCCAGAACTATGAAACAAGTTTCTCCTACCGAAATGTGTACAGGTCAAAAGAAACACGTCCCAAGAACGTAAAATAAGAAAAAAAATTTTATGACGCGCTGAACTTGAACAATTTTAGAAATCTTCCCCCATGAGTTAATTTATTCCTCAACGTGAAAAAAACAATAAATACATTATTTTGTATTCTACAGATGGTAATGATATGTACTGTCTCTGGTGTTAATTTAAATGCGATACCCTAAACAATCTAGGCGAAAAAAATTACCAAGTTTAGGGTATAATTGTCCGTAGGTACATGTTTGGATATTTGTTCGAAACTCAGTCTTGAACAACAATAATCATATCTTAAGATGACACTCACCTAGGCTATATATAGATCATTCTTAAAAAGTTTAACATCTCTGCCATAAATAGCTTCGGCTATAGCGCGCTTCAAATATGACACAAACGACAATTGTCAAAAACCCGTCGTCCTTCCTCGCTCCTTCGGGAATCTATTTTTCTAAAACCAAGCATGCCAGATGATTGAAATAAACGGCATTGTCTTTCGCAAGGAATGCGGCACCCCATGTAAAATTGCGAAAAAAAAAAAAAAATTACGAATGTACCCAAATGTACCTCACTGCTTGAATCCAAATGAATCCACCCGCCGGTCTTTCGAAGTTCGACGAACTTCGAACTTTTACCCTAAAAGTGCGAAGGTCGTCGAACTTTTGACTTTTCAGGAATCGAGAGTTCGACAGTTTTCGAATTCTTTAGACGAATAAGTTCGAAAGTTCGAAAATTATCGAACTTCTTAGCGTAGAAAGTCGAAAGTTCGAAAAGCTTCGACCTTTTCAGTGCAAGAAGCACAAGAAGGTCGAAAGTTCGAAAATCATCGAATTTTTCGGTCTATCAAGTTGGAAAGTTCGACAAGCATCGAATTCTGCAGCGTAATAAGGTAGAAAATTCGAAAAGCGTCGAACTTCATAGTTTAATAAATTTCGAAAATTCGACTTCCGTCGAATTTCTCGATATGGAAAGTTCGAAATGCAAAATCTTTCGAACCTTCCGAACCGCTTTATTCGATCATCGAACTTCGAATCGAAAAAAGCTCGCGGCATCCCTGAGCAAAAGCGTGTTATACTCCGCGACAACTTTTCTTGGCAATGCAGTGGAAGGTACGTCCCGCGTCCACGCAGGCTCTCCTCCTCCCCCATTTCCGGGGAGAGGAGGAGAATAGTCACAACAAAAGCAACACCGAAACCGAAACCATAACAGTCTGGAACAAGAGCCGTCAGCTCCCCTCCCCCTTTCCACCCACCCGTAGCTTTATAGTTGTCCCGGTGGCGCTGGTGGCGCCATCCGTATTCGCACCGCGCATTTCTTCCGCGGGTCTGTGCGAGAAGTTGTCGAAGTGTCAGAGGCCAGATTCTCAAAGCGAACTTACGACGAAAAAAATGCGTACGACAAATTTGAGAGAAAATCCGTATTCTCGAAACGAAATTGTCGTAACTTTTGCGCAGGTTACGACAAAATCCTACGACAGCTCCGAAGCTGTCTTACGCACTTTCTACGATCAAATTAACATGGCCGACAACGTCGCTCAGTTGCTCGGTCGCGACGACCCAACGGACATTTATTTTTCTGCCTGCTCTTCTTGTGCGTCCCGACTTCAAGCAGCAAGAAAAAAATGAAGAAGTACTTGAAACCGACCACGACGAACATGAACGCTGGATCCAGACACCCGGAAAAGGCAACAAAGGCGACGATCCCACCGACCAAGCGAGCTCGACAGAATATATAGGCCTAGCAGGCACTCCGACCCGTTCCGGCGCAGCATTGCTCAGACGGTCCTTGGCCAAGACCGTCTGCCCACGACCGGCTGGCTTGCTGAATGGAATATGCCCGCGCGACCCTTGTGGACCCTCCCCGTATGAATAGTTTGATAGCTGAACTAAATTTCAGAGGTCAACCGATTCCCCTTATCATCTCGATCACCTTGTTTTCCGAGGCAACGGTGACGAAAGCTGTCGTCGAAAAGGGACTCCTCGATTCTATCTCCCTGTTTTGTGTGATATAGAGCTCAAATAAACGCCGTATGGATTACCTTCGCAACACGGTATGTACACTTTGTTATCAGTATGCCATTTTTAACTGTCGAGCTGTATCAGTTTGTGGGAGCTACGCGATGCCGGTCCAACCTTTCTTTGCCGAGTGTCACGTCAGTATCGAGTTGCAATCGTAGAAGATCGGTCCCGAAGCGCTTACCGAAACGCAGTCTGAATCCAGCACTTCGATGAAACGCACGCGTCCGCTCAGAGTGTGAACAGGTATTTGCGTGACTCTTGCTGACACTCTCGTAGTTCAAACGTATCTTTTTTAACGTCGGCTCACTCCTGCATTTCCGAGCACGCGAGAAACGCCGCGGCGGTTTGTTTCCTTCTACGTCGCTTTGCAAACGACTGGCACGGGGCTTTTACCAACGATGACAGTCGTGTTGACTTCGTAGCGATCGAGTTTGTAGCAGTCAACGAAGCGTTTAAATCCTGTTAGCGTCGATATACCACTGCACGGACACGAACCCCAGACAACCGGTGGTGGAAAGGTCGCCCGCGTTTATGAGAATCAGCTTGAACACTACACATTTACACACAGACAGGACAGGACATACACGGAGCTGTCTATCAACGAGTGGTTAGCCTGTGTTTGTTATTAAAAATCCACGTGCTCCGAACTATGCCTAGCTCTCTAATTGGTTGTTCGTTTTGCCGAAGACGCCGTTGCCATAGCAACAGCACCGGAAGTCATCGTTTCTCCGTAAGAGGTCGTAACTTTCCTCCTCTCACTTAAGAACGCGTTTGTGAATACCGTTCTCGCCTCATCTTACGATGATCGTAACTTTACGAACTTCGTAGCTAAGTTGTCGTAGGTAAGAGGTTCTTTATGAATCTGGCCTCAGAACTGTCAAGTCGGTCGTGCTTATTCCAGAGAACCGAATCTGTGGAAGATTTTATTGTTTTTGGTAAGCTGCAACATTCTTTTGCAACGTTACGTAGGTGAATAGAGCGGTGGCTTTTCCGTAGATGTGAACATATCAAAATAAGGCCCTCGCGAAAGTTGTAGCGAGTAAAGTTTAACCGTTCAATATCATACCGGGTCGTTGTGTTGCTTGCGTAGCGGTTTCGGTTGTCGCAGTGACGCACTGGATGCGCGTGTGTGCACGCTTATTTGGTTCCGTATATTGATGGTCTTTTAATGTTATCGGTATATATTTATGAATTGGAGAAGCACTTTGTGGAGTTGCGACCTGGCGTTGTCTAAGCAGCCTGAACGCACTTTGGAATTTGCGCGAATTTTCCGTTTTCAGCGTTTCAGCACGTATTTCTCGAGTTTAGGCTATTTCAGATAGTCGTTTCCGTACACAACTGAAAGTTCACAGACCTACTCTTGCGATCGCCTACTCGTAACAAAGGACAAGCGGTTTCGTGCAATTCCGAAACTACTGACCGCTTTGACACGTGCCGTGCGCATGGGGCGTTGCTGCCATAAAGTTATTATAATGTACGCTAGAGGTTCAAGTGACGCTAGTGTGCTGCCGCAAATTGAAGCAGACAGCAACGAGTCGAAAATTGACTTGCTGTAATGCATTTCTGTGGGAAAAAGTGAGTGAGTTTTTCTCCCTGTGCTCAATCATAAGAGCAAATATCCCTAATAATTCGTACGTATTAGGTAGTTTGGAACATTTCTCGTGTCAAGCTGACAAAATAATTGGTCAGTTATGGCGTTTTTCTTTCAAATTCATTACATTAAAAACGGTGCTAAAACAGCTTCGTACGTGTATTTATGTGCACTGTCGGACACTGTTAGCGTGAACACGACGCCGGTGTTTTTCAGCATGAGGGATATACGTGTCAAACGAACGAAGGACATCTGGAAACCGAGAAAGACGGCAAGAACTACGCAGTAACTCTGGATCAATAAATACTAGGGCTGGGTGATTGATCGATTAAGGCTTTAATCGCGATCAAACTTTTTAACCGGTTAATCGGTTTTTTAATCAGTACTCAAAAAGAAGTCCACTGGACGCACGCATGGCTCTATCCTGGACGACCTGCCCAAATTAGGGGTGACTCATGCCCCCCCCCCCCCCCCCCCTCCCCCCTTAAAGAAAACACTGTGGGTGTGTATCCCGTAGTTCTGTCCCGAGTGGTGTTCCGTTCCCAGCCAGGTGCTATGAGCAAGGTTCAATTCTCGTATCGGGAAGCGTCAGGTGTTTGAGGATATACATTACAGTTCTGCTGAGCCCAGATGTTGAGCCAGACGAACAAGCCGGGGCCGCAATTGATGAGGCTTCAGGTGTTCAGGATCTATTACACATCCTGCCCAGGCAAGACAAACAAGCAGAAAAACAAGCTGGGAAGCTGACAACGCCATTGACGCCATGGTTACTTGTTCCAGTATTCGGCCTGAAAGATAGACGAGTTCACACTGGAAAGTTTGGGCTTTACGTAAGCTCCAGCGGTGAAGTTTTTTAACTCGAAGGAAGTCCACTGCATCATCTTCAAAAAGCCGTTTTCATACAGTGGAAGCGTAAGTTCGCTTCAGTATCATTTACGAGCGAAGCACCCATGCACGCCGCTGCAGCAAGGACCATCCGCCAAAACGCAGACAACAATCAACGGCTTCTCCATCGAGGTTTCTTTCTCTGAAAAAAGGAGAAATCATCGCCCACGCCCTGACTTCTAGACTTCCTGTGGGAGAATGTGGACAAACTTTGTCTTCGGAGCTGGAACAAAAATTTGTGAGCCTTTGGATCGTTGAACTACATATGTATCCTCAATTCTAAATATCCTTTGCGCCATGTAACAGAGAGTAAAATAAGTCTTCAAAGGCAAGAGGAGTTGTTGCATTCTTCTTAATATATTATTTATAAAAATGAATGCAACCTATTAATCAATTAATTAATCGATTAAAGGGTGGCGATTAATCGGGTTAAAATTTTTAATCGACGCCCAGCCCTAGTAAATACCCGTGCATGTACGATCAAAATAAATTGAAGGCCACATAACATATTCGGATTTTAAATAAGTAGGTACCGCTTTATTCTTTCTGCTTTGTGCGAAGTTGTACGTTCAAAATATCACCCGCACGCTCGAAATCTTTGAGAACGAGTGCCCGATAAACGCTGCCCGGCGGAGTAAACAATACGAAGAGTCGCCTTTCATACCGCCCATACTTATTCTTTACGTTTTGAGTGTTTTTATCCGCTCATGCACGACGGGGTTGTTTTCATATAATGGCAGGACTGGCATATTATCAATATATAAGCGTCAGCGGAATGCTGGCGAACCCTGAACACACTCTATATTCTTTTCGATTGTAATTTTGCTTTGAATCATTGCTTGTTTTTACATACCCGCTGCAGAACACACGTTTGGGTCTGAAATGTAGTGAAGTTAAACATCGCTCGCTGATGAAGAAAAATGCACTAACTAAAGCAATTACACTTTTAGAATGTTAATCAAGGTGCATACTACTCGGTACGACCCAAACAACCAAAGTGTTCAGTGTTATTTTCCGGTGAAAAGACAAAATGCACGCGCGTTTTCCCATAGGAATGCACAGGAGCACCGCAAAAGGAGACTGTTTGCTGTCTGCTTCAATTTGCGTCACGGAAGTCGCATAGACACTAGCGCCAGTTGAACCTCTAACGTACATTACAATAACTCTATGGTTGCTGCTACCGGTATCAGAGGGCCCGCCGGAGTTCTTCTGTGTGCATTCATAGTGCAAAGGAATTCGAACAACAGAGTGCACGCTGGTGCTGTATAAAATGCGGCTGAACCCTTTTAATCGGGCGGCGGGGTGCATGTTGTCCAAGTCTATATCACATGAGCGAATCGACGTTTTAGCGAATAACGGGGGCGTGTGTTAACCCCCCCCCGCGCTGCGCTTATGCTGCTCCGCAGTGGCAGTCTGCGGCGGCTCATTACAGAAATGTTTACCCACTTGGCCCACCCGTAAACGCCTTCTCGCTAAAGTGTCATTCGGTGAAACGTCGGCGTTCGCTAAAACGTAATTCGACCAAGTGAGTGTCTCGCGTCTAGCCAAAGCTCTTATTTTAACAATAAAATAATTTCCAATCTAAAAAAATAAAACTAAATAATTTAGGTCAAGTTTTTTAACAGTTCTAAATTCGGAATTAATGGAGCATGGCAAAAAATGTTGTATCTCTGCAAAGCAAAAATATTTATTTACTCGTGCTTTGCACAAGTAAATGTGTAATTGAGGGTTTGTTGCACGTCACATGTGTAACCGAAAAGTTACAATCCGTGTGCCAGCTCTGTCTCTTTGCAACCCGGTACTTGCACTCTGTCTGCCCTATGGATTGAAAGGAAAGGAATAACAAGACTTTATTCTTCCCTCGACTTGTGACCTCCGCTTCCCTATGTTTATTTTTTATGTCACTGCCTTTAAAGCCTAGCAAATCGGCATCGCCTTGGGCAACTGCAGTCTGAGGGTGGTGTTGTAGTACAGTGTACTAGAATACGGGGTATTGTTGGGGCCTGAGCAGCTCAGGTGAAGCACGTGGTATTGTGGAATCACCACAGATGGCACTGGCGCATCACTAGTAGGGTTGCTTGTGTGTGCCACGATAGGCGCATTGCAAACTGTTGTGAATGCCTGATGTACAATTTGCCAAACTCGGTGGGCCGCGGCGACTTTCTATCATCTTGACGACTGCAGTGCTATGATTGCTGTCTACACATGCAGCCTCACGGGCTCCCATTGCCGAGCTGTACCGGTCCCAACACTACCCTGTATTCTGGTACAGTGTAACTGCAGAGTACTTGGAGACTGCGGAACCTCCTGCTCGAAGTTGGTAGTACTGCTCCATCGAGAGTATTGCGACTGTTGCATTTTCTTTGCCCCTGGCTACATCGGCGCCACCCTCGCCTTTTTGGTAAAGCCCCTTCACGCATTTGTGTTTGCAAGTAGTGTCAAATGTGCCACTGCACAAGGCGAATGCCTCGTGCGGCTCTTGGAAGCGAATGGCAGCGGAGCACTTGCTCGTGACACGTCTTGCACATTCCCACAACAGTGTCTGGCTATACTTGTAAGAAATGACAAGCGTGAATTTTATCCAGGGGCTTTACCTTTTGGTGCACAATGCCTCTTTTGAACTGGCAGCATCCCTGTGGAAGCACAAAGATATGAGAATTGTTGTGCTGATAACGTGTAAGCTACGGTGCCAGTAGATTATTGTAGGATGGTGCCCATTCTAAACGAAAATAGGAGGAAACGACTTAGTGGAAGCTTTCAGTACAATCGAAACTCCTCCGGTTTCATGATTAGTTAAAGCCAGTGGCATAGCCAGGAAATGTTTTCATGGGTTGGTTTTTTTTGCTCACACCGTTCAAAATGCAAAAAAGGAAAATAAATTGCACGAACACAATTTTAGTTACTGTTCCTGTTTTTTAGAAGACAAAATTCAACCTTTTCTTGCCACATCTCGTTGGTTGAATCTTTAAAAAGGGAAACTTTAATGGTGAACAACAAAAACACGCAATCATAAAATATAATAATGGGCTTTGAACAAAAAAGTCCAGACAGGCCGACAAAATATTATGGTGCGTACACTTCTTTGTGGAATACTCGGGTATCCAATGACTAAAAAAATGAAAGCCGTTTACAACTCCCTGTAACGCCGAATTAGAGCGCAGCTCTTGAGGAGGAGGAGGGAAGGGTACTGAGGAGAGGGTATACTCCTTACTTCCTCATCCTGCCTGCTACTCCTCCCTCCGAGCGGTGTCGCCGTCTCCTCATGGGGGTCACGTGACCCCTGTGAGGTCACGTGACGATGACGTCACCAGTGACATCACTGCTGACGTCATAGTGGCGTCATCAGTGACGATGCCGATGACGTCATCAGTGACGTCACTGATGACATCATCAGTGGTGATGACGATGAGCATGCCGATGACATCATCAGTGACGATGCCAATGACGTCATCAGTGACG